AGGACTGCTCTATCTTATTGCTCTGAACTAGAGCTTTCTCAAGAGTCCAACCTAAGTCTATAGGCTCAGCTCACAACAAAAGTGTTAGTGATTAACGAATATGCAATAGAAGCCAAGAGCCACACAACCCTTCCCACCTTTACCTCATATTGCTGCATTAGCTGCACCATAGAGTCGCCCACAAACAGGACATCAGGCTCCTTGTCTTTACAGTCCAGGACAAATCTGTTGTGCTGGTTCAGGGAAGAAAAGGAAATGAGAAGTAGGCATTGCTTTCCGGGTGAGATTTCCTGACCTAGAAAGTGTGTGGTCCAACCTGTGATTCAGTTGTCAATCTTCTCGCTTGCTGTGGTCTGGCCTCTTAAAGCTCATTCCTTCATATCTGCAATCAACTGCTAGAGCTTTCTGCCCTCTCTCCCCCTACAGATCACCCTAAAAGATGCACCCAAACCGAAATCCTACCGATATTCCAATAGAGACACATTTAAAACAAACACCATCTTACTCTTGTCCCCAAGTCTCAGTATGAAACTTTCCAATCAACTGAAAAGCTGAAGACGGATACAATGAAAGAACACCAGTAAACTCAGCACCTCTATGTACCACTGAATACAAGTTTTCCCTACTTAGTCTGTTACTAAAACACGCGAAGCAAATTGTCTTGATGGTCCACCTCCAAATATTTCTGAATGCATCTCCCTCGGAGGTCATTTTATAAAGTCACTTAAGAAATTGAACAATATCCTAGTAACATCAATAATCAGTCTAAATTTCCCCCCCAATTGTCCCGAGAGATGTATGGCTTTTTCTTTTTTCTTTTTAGTATCCTAGCAAGATCCACATATTTTATTGGGTTTTTTTATTATGGACTGTGACTGTCTAATCTTAGACATGAGACAACAGTAAATAAGGACTCAAGCCTTTCCAGACAAATCAAAGGATATAAGCAATTGGCAACCCAACTCCTGCCATGCCTCTTTGCTATAGAGGCACAAGACACATCATTCCTTATTGATCCAATTTTTTTCCATTTTCTTATACATGTATATTTATAAATCATTTTATTGGGGGCTCTTACATCTCTTATAACAATCCATACATCAATTGTATTTCTACTTGAGCCCTTGGTATCAGTTTTTTTTTCT